TTCAGCTTCTGGGTCAATGACCCCCATCTCGATCAGATTTTCGTCGTTTCCCTGATCCTCGAGCAAATGCTAAAATGGCCCCTTGTTTTCCTTCTGGACATAAATGTTACTTCAAATTAACTTCTCCCCGCAGCACGTCATAAACAGTTTTTTAACTGTTTTTGACGTTAATAAATAAACTATGCAGAAACAATGAAAAGCCATTAAAATGGAGATGGAGAAGCAAAGAGAATAAAATATATCACACAATATATGAAACAACGATGGTAAAAATGTTGGGCTGAGGGATTATGTAACTTGTACTATATACGTCTTCGTAACGGTTACCACAGCCACACGGACTTTGGGAGCTAAAAAGCGCTGCATTTTCAGAACTTCCGAGACACCGAAAGACAAAGAAGCAGCTGTTGAGTTACAGGTTGGATGGCTTACATGGTTAGGATATTATTGCAAACAGAGGCAGAATTGATAAGTTGATGAATTTTAGTTCTTTTTACGTCTGACATTCGAAAGAATAATAATAATAATGTCTTCCAAAACGTTTGTGAACTTTATAAATTAAATTCAGGTTAATTCTAGCAGAATCCGGGTAAATTCTGTTCGATCCTATCGCGTTTGTTGTAATTGAATTTCGTTCGTTTGTATGATTTAAGATCCTTACTTGAACCACTGCACGTTGGGCTTGGGGTCTCCCACTACGAGGCAAGACAGTTCGGCCTTCTTGTCTCCTTCGATGGGCAAGGTCTGCGGTTTTTCTCTGAAGAAAGGAGGCTGCAACAAAAGCAAGAAAAATATTGGTACAAAACCGATGCTCTTCACAGGTTGTCGATATTTATAGACGTGTGTTGATACAAAAATGTAACAATTTAAAAGGAAAATATCGTAAAAAGGACTCAAAAAGGGAAACTGTGGGTAGATTTATGAGTAAATAACGGGGCGCTGAGCGGGAGCTAGGGATGAGAAGAATCTACCACTTTCAGCGGTAGATTTTTTAAAATTTTTTGGCCAGCAGTTTTATTTTGGCTTACCGGCTATTTTTGGATCTGGTTATAACCAATTTTTAAAGTCCAATAATCGCAAAAAACTTACTTTGGAAGAGAGATATTTTTTTTGAAATTAGTACTCAAATACTTTTTGGAAATGTGGTTAACCTGGTTACTCTGTCAACAGTTAAGAGCATTTTAACAGTTTCTCCAAATTAATGATCTTCATTACTAAATTCGTTATGTGAAAATCAATTAGCGATTAACCTACTTTTGTCTAAATAGATCCCTTGCTTAAAACCCACCTATTTTCAGTTTCTTCTACTTTTACTAATTCATTTCCAAATTCCGTTTTTGTTGCAGCAGTGACGTCTTGAAAATTCTCAACTTTTGATAGTAATCGAATATTTGACCTAGCAATGGATAGTAAGTTTCTACCCTCAGATCGAATTTTGAAACAAGAAAGTGATGTTAATCAGACACATCTACCGTGTTCTTCAAATATTAAAAGAAGTGAAAATAAATTACGTACGTTCAAATCCGCACTGCCTGAAGGCATACTCTCCACATTCTGCATGTATGAAGCAAGTGGTTTTTTATTTTTCAAACTGTATGCTTGAAGTGGCAACTAGTACCGCAGCGTCCTTTACTAGTGTCGTTACCCTATTGGCATGAAAGGAAGGTTGTGAGGAGGAACGAAATGGAATGTCACTGAGTAGGCTAACAATTCGATCAGAAGGGATTGTCGTAAGAACAGTTGTAACATTGTGTAACATTGCTAATACACATAAAATGTTTTCACTTCCACTGACAATCCATTTTCAGTATTTAGTTATACAGAATCTCTCAAAATTAATATTACAAATTTCTAGGACATGCAAGAGTGTTTAAGGTGATTACATTCCCAAAGAATATGTGTTAGGAAACTTTAGATAAAGAACACATGTAACATTCATCCTGTTTGTTAGGAATCCCCGTATGCACATGTATTAGCAGGAAATCACATTGATTGTAACATAACATGACTTGCTGTACATCAGTGAGTAAGAAGTTCCTTACAACCAGAGAAAAATGTCACATGTGTAACATCATTTTATAAAATTACTACGTGTTTTTTGGGAAAAAAGTAATCATTTTTGTCCTCTTTACGCGCCCAAGAAGTTTGTATCATTTATTCTGGGGCACCTGTTAAGCAAAATATGTTCAATAAAACATGAAAAATTATGTTTGATTTGACTACTTTTGCATGTGTTAATAACCGGTTGTTTTGAGCGTTTTTAACCGGCAAGGTTCACCGAAGTCAAAAAGCCAATATCTAAAACAGTTCTGATGGATAGATTAGTAGTATTTTGTTTCCTTTCAACTGCTAAAATCATTAGTCCGTGCATTGTATATTTTTAAAACGGGAGGTGGTGGTGTCTTCCAGCACTGGATGGCGAGATCCGGCGCCGTCCTACACAACGGCTTACGGGATTTTCCTAATCCAAGTATCTCCCACGAGTGGAGACACCGCTTTAGCCGAGACAAGTTCAAAGATCCTGACTTGACACGCGACATGTTTGATAGTGTAGTGCTTCTAAAGTGTATGTAAGTAAGGGGTGAGGGTAGGACCAGGAAGACAAAGGCAAGTCGCGCGTGGACCGAGGCCCGTATGGTAGGGAACTGCTCCGGCATTCGCCAGGTGATGATCGGAGAAACCACAGAAATCTACCGATCAGCTAGCATTCTCCTCCAGGCGGAATTCGACCTCGCTCGCCAGCCAGAGTCGAAAACCCTGCCGCGGGGATCGGGAGTGAAACCCTAGGAGGCGCTGCAGCGCAGGCGCCCGGCACCCACCTGCCCCTCGCGCTTGTACTCGATGATGGCCTCGGCCTCGGCGTGGCCGTCGGCGCGCAGTCCCACCTCGCGGCGCAGGCGGCGCAGCGAGTACACCTCCGGGGAGCCGTACTGGTTGATGCGCGCGCGCCGCTCGTCGTCGATCTCCTCGTCCATGACGTCGGTGAAGCGCCGCCGCTCGCGGATCACGGGCGTCTGCACACAAACACACACGACACCGTTGCTTGGCTCAAGATGGACGCCTTGATCTGATGGGTCGGATTCTTTTAAACGCGTGTTGGTGAAGGGAAATGGACGTAATGAATCCGAACGAACACTTCAGAAAACATTGGGCGGACATCTGTTTTGTTTGGTTGTGTGGGTTCGCTCAAAATCAGCTGGAGAGTCAAGGTCATCTCCAATATATACAGATTGTCTTGAATGCGCTTCTCGCACAGGTTCCAAAAATAGAGTTGTGGAATCATGAGAATGTTCGGATGCTTTCGTGTGCAACATTGAGGTGTGGTTCGGAAAATGTATTTGATATACTTATCCGGCCCGGAGGATCAAATCAAATGAACTAGAAAATATACTGTATTTAAATTTATTGTAATAGGCTGAATGGTTAATACTTACTCATACAATTGACCTCTGGTAGTCTGTTGATGCGTGCAAGAAAAATAGTAATTTTATTACAACACATATTTTAATTGATAATATTACTATTATTAATATTATTATTCAAGATAGCTCGGATGAAATAAGTCGGACGATTTCTCTGGTGAACGACGGATATTTTAGCTGCTCTGTGATCGCAGTCTTAGACATCCAGTCACCACGAGCAAACTGAGGACACGGAAATGCCGAAGATGTCTCGATGTCTCGATGTCTCGTAGCTTGGAGTCGAATTCGCGGCACAGGTCGGTGATTGGAAGACAAACCGAGCAGTGCAATATTTATGTCAATGGCATCTTTCAGATATCGCTAATTCGATCCACAAATTGGTGGATATTTTTATGTTCGTGTACGCTACTAAAATAGGGCAAACTAGAGACTACCGACCTTTCCCGTGATGATACACTAATTTTAAACAAAACAATCATACTAATCAAATTTATTTATGAAACAAGTTTAATTTTATAGAATAATAATTTATTATTTTATTCATACATTTATTATTTAATGTAAAAAAGGAAAACGTCTCAATTAGTGAACAGTGGAAGATTTCAATAACAGTTATGAGGCCGAAAAGGAAGGAGAACTTACATTTTGTACCTCCTTCCAGAAGTAACAGGACGGTGTTGAAAGTCAGCTGTCAAAAGACAATTATCGACCTGCTAGTGTAAGCTAGTAAGAATTTAGTTGACAAAGACGTTATTTTGAACTTCAAGTCAATAACCCATCATATTGTGAAGAATGTTTAGTGAAAGCTCTTGATTAATATTATAAAATTGAGTTTATGATCATAGAGGGCAATTCAATTGCATGAGAAATAGGAACAATCGACGTAAAACAAAGCATCAAAGTAATTTTTTGTTCGTTTGTGCTCATTTAATTTCAAATTTTATTGTATTGTGTTTGTGTATTTAATGATCTTGGTTTAATACTTGAAGAAATGATGCGTTAAGTACCATCAAAATAAAAATCCTTAACATTCTGGTGTCGTAATTGGCTTTCCCTCTATGGCCCGAAATTCAATTTCATAAAGGCGGCTCCATACATTCGGTAGTCGGCAAGTAACGAACCACGAGTAGTGAGCCGAATCTCGAGTAGTGAGGATGGGTTGCTTGCAATTTGCCAAGCGTCGAACATTCGGTGCTCGCCCTATCCACCACGTGTCAGTCTTGTGGCCCGCATCAAAGAAGGCGAACATTCGCCGAGCACATCAGCTACTCGGGATTGGGCTACCAGTAGCTGCTCCACATATTCGGCATTTGCCGAGTAGTGTATGTCGCTGGCCAAGAGCCAACTATTCGGCGCTCGCACTATCCGTCGCGGGTCGGTGTTTTGGGCGCATCAAAGGAAAGGACATTCGGCCGAGCTCATCATCTGCTTGGACCAGAAGCTCGCTACTCGGCGGACGCCGAACGCGTGAAGCCGCCTGACGCCATTCGCCCGAAGCCGCAGCGCACTCACTCTCCAGTCGTAGGGCTGCGTCTCCGACAGATGTCGCGAGTAGCCGGGGGCGCGGTTGGCGGCGACCTTCATGTACTCGCGCAGCCGCACCGGGAAGTCCACGTCACGCAGCTGCAGGAGGTACGTGTCGGGCCCGCTCTGGTAGCTGCAAACCGAACGGCACCGGATCACCCCCAGGCCCTTGCGGCATACCTCTCGCGCACGCAAAACAAAGGCTACTAGCACGTCAGCAGAAGCTTCGTCACAGAACATCTGAACTTTCATCGTTTAACATCACGCGTGCGCAAGAGGAAAGAATATGATGCAAGAGAAGTGATAGAATTCATAATCTTCCTACACATGTAAATACAACTACGCTACTCACGTATATGATATGTTGAGCATCTGTAAAACTTGGAAACACTAATTAACAACAACAACGACAAGCACTACGACGACAATAACAAGCACTACGTTGACAATAACCATAACAATGACGACCACAACACAACTACAACATTGACAATAGTAAAACAATGAATTATGAGTGACATGCTGCATTCTCTAAACTACTCACCAATAATGATGTTTTTAATCTGTAAAATAGCTAATAAAACATTTTAACACAAACAAGAAAACATACATACCAGTTCTCAAACGATTACCTAATTCACAAAGAACTAACACTACAAAGACATTAACATGATTACGTACAGTAAACAAATATAAATTAACACATTAAATTAGAGAGGAAGTTTTTTCGTATCTGAAACACTAAAAATGAGTCAAGCATTAAAGATCTAGAACATGCTTAATTGTTTATGCACATTACATGTAAGATGTCTCCAAAAGAACGCCCATCAACGCTGCTACTTTGAAATAAAGACAATGTAGCTCTTTGGCTTTGTTTTTGATCTTACAATTTCGAAACTACTCTGACTATAAAGACTGACGTACGTCCAACTCCTGTATTCATTGTATCCAAGTTCAGTGGTGATATCCACGAACGAAAGAAAACAATAAAAATAAAAACAGGAGTTAAGTAGTAATAAGGATTGGACACTGCATTGCACATCAGCGTTCAACATATCGAATATCATAAAAAGGAGTTTTGAAACTAATTCTTTCATAGCGTATCTACGACAATGGGACACCAACAATTAATCTAACATGAATTTTACAGTATCGATTTAAAGAACACAAACTTGTTCACATGTGTAAAGAACATTTGTGTTAAATTCCTCACGCTCAACACTTTCATGTTCTTAATAACGTGATTTGAAAATAGAACAATGTAGTTCGTGCCAATAATTTTTTGAGACAGATTACATCGAGTGTTTAGGTTTAAGTTCATTGTGTTAAAACCCTAATGTTCATGTCACTGATTTATATAGGTAACTGGATAGGACGTGGGTAAAAAAGTTGTGACAACGTGGAGGACATTGCTGAAAAAATGTGCGTTTCATTGCATTTATCAAGAGCCAGCAGGTATTTTCCAAAATCGCTTGGAGCGTAGTGGCAAAAAATTCAAGCCTACCAATTAACGACATAAATGCGATTTTCAAGATTATTTCTTAGCAGTGATTTGATGCGTGCATCCTTACGAAAGTCACGATTATAGCCATTTGTTTCGTAAGAAAGTTCCGTAACGGGAAAATAGTAAGTCAAAATTAAAATAGTTCTCACAAAATATCTGGTATTGTGCATTCACCACAAATTGAATGTTGCAGTCGTGTACATGTGTTTTACATTTGTAAATAATTTTTTTCGTTGGGTTTATAAAAGGTAAACAAATGTGCAGATATTTACATTCATTACAGTAGTTGTTATATTTATATTGAATATTGACCAAACACATTTAATACTTTTAATACATTTCAGTAGCATTTAATACTTCATAAGATGTATTCCCTTCCCGTTTGAATCAATTTTCTTCATCGAGAGTGCTCAAATGACTGACCTGAGTTGACTTGGTAGGTAGATCCTGTTCTCGTCACCCTCTCTGTACGTTTAATGAAAAATGGTCCATCGTCTGCCTTGGTTCATTTCCTCGCGACTATATTAATGTTTTCAAATGAACATCGATCAGTGGCGGATCCGGAGTAGGCAATGGAACCAAGCCCCCTCTCCCCGATCTAACACTTATTTTGCAATTTTACCCGATTTATTCGAAATATAATTTGGTCGCATCGCTTTCCAAAGAAATATTGTTTGTATTAAACCTGAGAACATCAAGAAGAAATTCACGCACTAAAAAAGTGATATTTTTCTTGTACGGGGCAGGGGTACGTCTTAAACTCCCTCGCCCCCTACTTTTCCTTGTGGGATCCCCTCCTGGCCACGATATTGATGGGCGTTTCTAGGCATGAAAAACGGTTGTCATTATTCCATTAAGTGTAGAGTATGTTTTATCATGGGAGGTGGCGGCGATCTTCCCGCCACCGGCCTACACGTCGGCTTGTGGGTGTCTTCCACAACCAGGTATCTCGCACCAACAGGGCACCATCCCAGCCGAGTCAAGCTCTAAGCTCCCTACTGATTTGCATGTGTGTAGTGTAGTGCATATCAGTGTAAGTGTGTGTGCAAGGGGTGAGGATAGGACAAGGAAGGGACAGGAAAGATCGCGCGCGTTCCGCGTCCCGTTTGTTTGGGTACTGCTCCGGCATTCGCTTGGTGTTGTTTGAAGAAAGCGCGGAAGCGACTAGATTCGTAGCAGCGCTGGAGCGGGCGGTTTTCCGTGTGACACCTGCGTCTACAGCCAACTAGCGCGGCCGTGCAAGGCGAGCTCAACAGGCGTGAGGCGGGGCGAGAGGCTGGACACGTACTGGCTCTCGGACTTGGCGACGCCGATCTCGTAGTCGATGGGCTCGCGCGACGGCACCTGGTCCTCCCAGGTGCGCGGCGGGCGCGGCTCCTTGGGCTGCGGGGGCGGCGTGGGCTCTGGCGTGTACACATGGCCCGGCGGGTACACCATGCGTGACGGGTGCTCGAAGGCGCCGCTCAGCGGACGCCGACGGTACCACGTGCGGCACGACGCGTTCTGGTACCAGTCCCTGAAGAAGAAAAACAAAAAACGGTGAGCGGCGCGTGTAGGTTGGGGGCCACAAGATCCGATATGTACATTGGGGACCGACTCAGAGAAGAGGCATACGTAAATTTAGGACCGACTTCCTCTTCCCCTTCCAGGTAAAAGGGGAAGGTGATACTTTTATTTTCGAAGATAAAGGTTATGAGGAAATCTACCACAACCGAAATAACATCGAAAACTATGAGGAAAAATATTGCTATACTTTGGTGTACAACTACGTGAAATTATTTTTTTGTTGCACAATGATGTTGATTTTTTTAGTTTTAGTGCAAAAAAAAGACATCGTGCAAAATCCATTCTTCGACCTTCTTACGCATTACGCCCTGAAGGTCGCAGAATGGCGACCGAAACGTCGGCATCTTTGCCATGGACGCGGCGTCACCCGGACAGCCTAGTAAATACATTTGTAAATGGTGTTTATTTGTAATTAAGATTTAAAAATAAATAAATTCTCTAACTTTGTCATCATATGGTACTGTTATCTACATTTTTTGTGAATGCTTGTAAGTTTCCTTCTCATTATTAAAACCAATTGCATCGTTGGTACTGGCCATGTATTTATAAAACAAATCGGTAACAAATTTCCAAGTTTATAAGTTGGTATGAGATTTCATTGCGGTACACTGTACTGTGAAGTCCCACATGCCGGTCTGCTTTGAGGCATGTAAACAACAGAAATGCGTCATAGTATGAAATAAGTCCTCTAAATGAGTCGGAAGGTTAACTGCGAGGCGGGGCGATAGCGAAGCCGAGTAGTAAACCTTCCGGCTGAATTCTTAAAGACTAATAGGACGGGTTACATACAATGCTTTTCGTTGTTTATAGTTTATCGTTTATTCAAAATAAAATTTTATCACTTTCATGAGTTACGAATTGTCATTATTCTCGATTTTCTGTAGCAAGGGGTGATGGTGCTGGATGATTTGTTTGTGATCAAACAGTTAAATGCTCTTTCTGCTAATGCAAGCTGATTGAGAAAAAAATGTCCCGGAATTTCAAAGTATCAGAAGATATTTTCGTGCCAGATGATATTCTGGAGGAAGCAGAAACTGCAAGCTCTAGTTTGATACCTTCTAAATTTGTAACCGCTTATGAGAAAGATTATGATTTATTTTGTGATTGGAGAACGAAAAGGAATGATCGAGACATTAACGAAGAGATTACGGTAGCATACTACTTTCAACATATCTGTACCAAAATAATTGTAAAAATACATTTTGTTTACATTTATTCCGAAAAATTATTTTTTGTGTCAACGTCATATTTATCCCAAGATTTATAAGCACTGTCCGCTAAAATATTTTCAATAGGCTCTCGAGCAGTTTAATGGCCGTTGCTATGGACGCGCTCTTAAAGCGTTGTTTAGATGGTTGCTAAGGGGTGAAGTGCGTGTTTACCAACGTAAATAACAAAAAAAAAATAATAATTCGTGTGCCTATACTGCGATTTATGCAATTCTGACCCTGGCAGGTACCCTGTTTGACGGTTTCATCCAATCAGGAGCATGAACATCACCATAGTGACGTCACTATGATGACGTTGAAGCTCCCCATTGGATAAAACCGTCAAGAGCTGGTTCCTGCCAGGGCCTCAGTTGCGAAAGTCGCAGTCTAGGAGCTGCCAATGCGCGGCCTTGCCTAATCTTGCCTTGGCTAATCTTCCCCCCCCCCTACGTCACAAAGTTTTTTTTAGTTTTTTTTTAATTTTTTAATTTTTTTTTTTACCGAATAAATGTAAATCTTGCTGACCTGAAGCCGTCCAGGTAGGTGCGCAGGCGATCGGCCGGCAGCTGGGGCGCGTCGGCCGGCAGGCGGTCGGCGGCCGTGAGCCACGGGTGCTTGAGGGCCGCGTGCACGTCCATGCGGCCCTCGGGCTGGTACACCAGCAGGCTGCGGATGAAGTCGCGCGCCTCGTCCGAGATGCCCTGCGACAGGGGTAACAGCACACTTTCAAAACGGAAAACCGACACAACGCAAAATTATGATTGATTAGAGTTTACATGCGCGTCGACTGCTAAGTCCCATAAGTGTACTGCACGTTTTATTGGGAGAGGTGGCAGTGATCTCCCTCGCTGAATGATGAGATCCGATGACGGCCTACACGTCGGCGTGCCGGTTTTCCCTAACCAGGTATCTCCCACCAACGGGGTGGAACCGCCCCAGCCGGGGCAAGCTCTAAGCTTCCGACTGGCTTCCGAAAGTTTCTTTTATAAACGGAAACAGATACAATCGCACGGGGAGTTTAAAACCGAATCCTTTTACTTGTTGGGATATTTTTTTACCTCATTCATCTCTTCATACATGAAAAGGAATGCATTCTGACTGTAGTGTATCCTCTCTCTAGTCTAACCTGCTTTGCCCTGCCCTTCTTGCAACTCCTTGCCACCGTCGTCGCCCTGTACTGCTTTGCCTGACCCCGATACTACCCGCCTTACCTCCAGGTTGTGCGTGATGTCGACATAAAAAAATGAATTAAAAAAGTTTGTGTAACATATTCAAAAAATATAAATTACACGTGCAGATATCAGGGTAGTTCGTCCGAAAAAGAGGTGTTTATCAAACACGCCGTATAAATAATATAGTGTATATGATGCTATTAAAAGATATCAATCATTTTTGAATTTTGAAAATACCGGGACATTTTATAGTTCCGAAATGATTCTTCGGAATACCAGGACAAAGGGAAAATATCCGGCAATGACCCATACAGGAATGCCGCATACGGAATGCCTACATGACAGGGTGAATGACCCATACGGGATGCCCACCTGGAAGGGTGAATGTCGCATACGGAATGCCTACAAGGCAGGGTGAATGTCGCATACGGATGCCTACCTGGAAGGGCAAATGTCGCATACGGAATGCCTACATGGAAGGGCGAATGTCCCATACAGATGCCTACCTGAAAGGGTGAATGTGCGATACGGAATGCCTTCCATGAAGGGTGAATGTCGCGTACGGAATGCCTACCCGGAAGGGTGAATGTCGCGTACGGGACGCCTACCTGGAAGGGTGAATGTCGCATACGGAATGCCTACATAGCAGGGTGAATGTCTCATACGAAATGCCTACCCGGAAGGGTGAATGTCGCGTACGGGATGCCTACCTGGAAGCGCTGGGCATGGAACTCCCAGGTGCCCTGCTTGACGCGCGTCAGCGTCTCGCGGTCGTTGGGGCCCAGGAAGGGCGAGTGGCCCGACAGCAGCACGTACGCGATGATGCCCACCGCCCACATGTCGGCCGGCGTGCCCACGCCGTCCCCGTTCACCGTCTCGGGCGACGCGAACTCCGGATGGCCTGCGCCGCACACACAAGGCGGTTTTACAGTTCGATAGTTTTATAGTTCGACGTCCAGAAATAACGTAACGCTAAAGAGGGGGGGAGGAGGTTTGAGGTAGAGTTACGCTGTGTTACAAATGGGCGGGAAGGGGGGTAGTTTAGTGTTAGTAATGCAAATATTTATCTTTAAAATGTTTCAACATTTACTGAAATAATTCCGTTTATTCAACCTTAAACTATTAAAAAATTAAAATAAAAATGTAAATAAATTAAAAAGTTATAATGCATAAAATATACAATAAGTGGAAATCTTTTTTCTTTAATTCATTCATTGAATCTGTTAGACTATGAATAAAATATTCAAAACTAATCTATAGTGTATTCTTGAATCCCATTAATTTGTGTTGTAGACTTCGGACTCATGTGTCATCCAGGATGGCGTGTGGACGGCTTGTTCACAAATTTTGTCAGTTACGTGTCCTTTACTCAAAAATTGTTCCCAATCTTATAGTTAGGTGCAGTCTGCACTGCAATCTAATTCTGACATTAATTGCCATAAATTTTAATTTGTAACACAAATAGAATTAATGCAACTAGTAGCTACAAGTTTATAATTTATTATTACTGATTGTAAATGGGAGGGTCTTGTCGTGTTACTGCAATTATTTAAGGATGGGTTCAAGTGCATTTTAGTGGGGGCTAATTCTCTTTTAGATTCTTCAACCATTTTAGAACATGTAGGATTCTGATGTTGGGCCAGAAATTACTAAACTAAAAAACTACTATAAAATTGATAATATCATATAGAAAATAAAGTAAGTTTATCCTTATTTGAGTTAACTGAATTAATAATAATGAGAGATTCATTGAGTCATTAATGTAAAATTTCAGGAATCAGGCCTTAATCATTATTCTCCTTTGTGCAATATAAGTATCCTACCATAGTCCAAAGAGGCCAATTTTCCAAATGCGAGTCTTCGGCTGAGCCCGAAATCACAGATTTTCAGCTCATCTCCACCTGGATGGGAAATGAGAAGATCGCCAACCTATGAAACAAAAATCATGTCAATCACTCCATTTCATCAATGTAAACTTTTGACATCAACGTTCATATTTTTGCTTTCTTACAAAAGTACTTTCAGTCAATCATTTAAATTGTTACTATAATTAATTATAAATACCTTTTAGATGATTTAGGCAAATATAATGCAGAACAGATTTGATTAATTAATATAACAATAGACTCCCCCTTTTTTTTGTTGCTAATGTAAAAACCTTGAAAGTTTCATTGCAAACTGTTCTTAAAGAAGTAAATTTTTATCACTGTGCCCAAGCAGTCCCACTGCCCAAATTATGCATGAATGCTACTCACTGTGAGGCCCAAGTGAGCAATGTTCTGTATGTGCATGTGCTCCAGGCCCCAAAGCAGCTGTCGGATGTAGCCAGCGATTTCTCCTTCTGTGTAGTGGGGCTGCTTGGTGAGGTTATCAAGAAGTTCACCACCTCCAGCACTTTAGCCATTAAGGAATGCATCTTAACTTATATGAATGGATTTATTTGATTACATTTTATGTATAAAACAAATGGTTCTGGTGGCACAAGCCATAATGCACTAGCCTGATATTCCCAAGTTTTCGCAACCAATAGATATTTTGGATGCAGAAATCAATGGTAGACAGCTAAGTCTCCATGGGAACTAGTTGCATTTTCTTCTCAGAAAAATTAGTTTGACATACTATGCATGCACAGTTGGTTTGGGGTGGTGTGTTGCTTTCCAGTACCTACTATCAAAACAAAATGTCTAAATTGACTAAAAAGGTAAAAGCTTTTGTATCATTGGTATCATTGAGTCATTCATTTAAAAGAGAACTTCTTGTCACTGAGGCTGTATGTACACACACACACACTGACAAATGTGATGTTTTGAAATTGAAGAGGTTGATACAATGACTGGCCAAAATAAGCAATAAAACATATTGTCATTAGTTTTCTGGATCAAGGGAAATAACAAAAACCAATAAAGGTAGATCCTGAGATGGGCAAGTAAAACAATGAATGGGAAAAATTCTTCTCACGCTTGCATTAAAATTATCAATTTCAGTGCTTGAGTAAGCTAAGAGGAATATTATGAGATTCATTGCATCCTCCACTTTGATGGGTCCTAGTTAAGTGATAGTAATGAATAAAACAAACAAAATGACCATAAAAAACTGCTGAAGCATAGTAACTTTCCAAAGGATACAGTTCTGTAATGAGTGTCATGGAGCGATCAGTCTCCAGAGCATCTTGCAGGCGAATGATCTTGGGGTGGTTCAAAACATTGAGGATCTCCAGCTCATTGTTCATAAACTGTCTTAGTTCATGCTTTCCGTGCATGATCTTAGCAGCATAATTGCGACCTAAGCATAATAAAACAATTAATTAATATTACAAATTGTATAAATAATACAAATTTAAATAAAGCAAATTAAAAATAATGTTTATAAAAAAGGAGTAGTTGAAATTTTGAGAGGAGCAAGGAACAATATAATAAAAAATATAATAATTCTCATTTGAAGCTATGAACAACCCTGCACTGCTTGCATTTCATCCATTTTGATCATTTTGCGTACAATTTTTCATTATTTGTCTTTTGTAGTTGTCTGGGCTTAAAAGCATGCTAGAGGCTCAATTTCTGCCCAAAAATAGAAGTGATCTGATGAAAACAATACGAATTATACACTTCTTGCTAATGAGATTGTGTTGCGTCTCAAGTCTGAGAAAGATAGAGGTGTTCATTGTGTCAAACAACTACTCACTCTAGCAGTGTTGCTGACCCTCAAAGTCTTAGTTATTAACAAGAAGGTAGTATAGAAGTCAAGATTCTAAGAAACACTCTTCCCATAAAAATGCTGGAAGACACGGCAAGTGAATGTCTGCGCAAACAATACAAGGTTAATAATCACACTGTACACACCAGTGAGTCTCTCCACAGCGTGATGAGTAACTCCTTGTGTGCCACGGCCCAACTCATCTCCAATGTCGTAGAGGTCAGAAATGGGCTTCTTCTTGGGCCTAATGTCTCTGCCTTTGCTGTACGTCAAGTAGCCATACTCTTGCTCACTCTCTTCAACATGTACCATCACAGAACATGAGACACTTCCAGCAATGTTGCGAGCACTGATTGAATAAAGGCCTTCATCTTTGTTGATAGCATCATTAATAACCAGCACACAAGTATTAGGTTCGATGAACTGAATCTGAAATCGAATTGTTCATTTTATAAATGCCTGTTATGATCAATCAAAACACAGAGGTACAAGGTACCTCTTCCATTAGGTTACAAACTTAAACTGTTCTTTACACGTCCTTAGAAGATATAAACTTACAAGCATTTGTGTTCCTAAAGTATATAATCAGAAAAGTTCTGTAGCAAAATCTCCATTAAAAATGTTATGAAAAAATAAGTCTGCAGATATTTTTTAAAAACTGTATTTTCGCATATATATTTTGGTGAATTCTTAGATTAGGTATTTAATGTGAAGTTAAATTAAGGCTAAATAGTTATATGTTTTACAAAGAATTCAAAAAGAAATAACAGTATTCATGAATCATAGTTTGCATATTTAGAATATATTCGTAGAAAAGAAATGATAGCATTTTTTTAACAAATTATGAAATGAAGTGCTTTTTTACCTTTATTCTGCTAGATGGAGCAAGTGGTTGCCAATCTTTGTACCATTTTATCTCTGGATAAGGTACTCCAATGACTTTAGCTTCAATTCGAGCTGAGCGCCGCAGCATTAAAATGGTCTCTTCTGGACGCATGATGAACACAGGGTACTCTGCAATTTCCAACCTTACCCTCTGGCGAGCTTCTCCATGCTCATTGGTGGCAACAGCTTCATACATGCCTACATCTCTATCAAGCATTCTGAAACAAACGAGAATTCAATGAGCTCTGTGAAATTCTGAGTCTGCCTGAATGTTCTTGTTATTATGAATATATTATTTTTCTCTTATGACATTATCTTTCAATCAAGTTCATATATCTCACTTTTAGAAATTAAAAACAGAAAATGTATGTAGGCTGATGCTCAGAACATACACAAAACAAACTTTTGAATTTCATTGAAATAATTAAACAATTTTGAAACTACATTGAATTGCTTTTATTTTATCTTGCAAGACTCAGTTTGTCTTTTTTCTTCTAAAATGGCCAGTGAATATTTCAAAAACTGTTTAAAATTTTAAATATTTTTTGTAGAAAATCACTTCCCCGTGACACATTATAGGAATGTTACTTTAATTTTGGCCCGAATGCCGAGGAATGTATTTCCCTGAATTGAAAATTATAGTGCCACAACTGGAACAATTAACATAATGGTTGTAGAGCTAATGAATATTAAATGTTAAAGTGCTGATAATAATCAGTTTTAGACTACAGATTACTGTTCAAATGTTTTTTCATTCCAGGCAACCAGCCCTTATTAACCCAGTAAGTAAATGCTGTACATTTAAGTCAATGATCACATATAATAATATAAGATAATAATTATATATTACAATAATGGACTTTGAAACAAAAAATAAAAATACACATAAATTAATCAAATGAAAGTAATTTATATTAAATTCACATCAATTTCAGATAAATATAAAATTATTCCGAGATCAAATGTTATGTGCAATCATTTGATCATTATAGTAGCGTGCTAACAATTGCAATCAGTTTGCCATTCAGTCCTGACACTGACTGTATGTTACACAAAGAAATCTTACAAAAGAGTTATGTGATAATAAAATCTTAGTATTAGCGGAGTAGTGAGGAGTAAAATTGTTTTTTAAATGAAACATCTGCAATACTTTCATACCTAACCATTACAAAAATCTATATTTAGGATCCAAAACAAGAAAAGCGTATGATATTTATCATATTGCTAATATTTCCCAAAATTACACATCTAAAACCCTACTATCTATCAAAAACCAATTGGCATAACAATGCCTTATGGAACAATTTTTCATGGAATTTTTCCCCCTTTCAATAATATTTATAACTTCTGATATTGATTCTTTACATTCTTACAATGGCAGCAATTCTTCTGAAGAAAAAAATTATTTCATGAAAGAATAAGAGGGGAATCTCTTCTTTCTCCCATGATTTGCCCCCACCCAACTTGTGACTTTACCTATCATTAATTATGGAAGTCCTCTAGGACAAAAATTAATATGCAAATTACACCAGAAAGCTGTCTTACCTGTTGATAAAGAGGGTGGCTTGTCCGTTACGAGTGTAACTACAGTCGTAGCGACCTCCCATTTCGATAGGTTCGTCATTGAAGAAGTATTGCATTTTTGGTTTAGGATAGCCATACACAAACCAAAACAGGTTGCAGTTGTGGTTCTTAATTCCGTACTGAGCATCATGCTCCTGTCGCAAAAATCTGGAAAACCATAAATAATTCACGTTAAAAATAGTTAATGAATTTTATATTAATCTATGTAATTATAACATTAATAATAATAACAGAAACAAATATAATCAAACTTCTAAAACTTATGAATGAGTAAAAATTTTAAAAACTAGCGTTGCAATATCAGGAACTTCAACAATATAATTGAATTGGCTATTTCAAAAAGACAACATCTCCATCAGCTGTTCAACATATGTTTGTTGGAAAGTATCACATCTCTCAAGTAGCCTAATTGAAGTAACCACCTGCTTAGATCTTATTAACAAACTGCAGATACATGGTCTTTTCTCTTGAAACAAAGCTAAAGACGTTCTCTGAATCAGATGATGAGCATTACTCATTTTCGCAAAGATAGGAGATGTGGCTTTTTCAAAAAACTAATTAAATTCAAAACAAAATAATTCACAGTTACAATACTATTTACTAGTAACCTTAAAGACAATTTAATGCTTAGAAATACAGTTATATTTGTGTCTAGAAGACTAGCCAATATTTGAAAAAAGGAAAAACTTATAACAAGAAACTTTCTTCAGGTAAACATGAAATTGTCCTCATCATGAAGCAAAGAAATCATTAAATAGAATATTAATTATAATATGAGGTTAAAGTGAAATCTATGTAACGTTTGAAAAAATGAACCTGTTCACTGTCATGAGTCTTATTCATCTCATCAAAATGAATGAGAGTATGAAAAATACTAATTCAACATTACAAACTGGTCCATCTTCTTAATAAATTGCAGTTAAATAAGAAATAGCATAACTACTTAAGTTGAAATTTATGATCTGTTGTTTTATTCATTGAAAATGAAAGAAGGTGAAGGTGGAAAGTAGAATAATGATGAATCCAGTATGCCTTCACTTTTAACAAGGAAGTAATGTGTTGATATTTTCATTTGCACTAGTAGTTTTGTGCATGTTCTTCTGCCTAGGTCAATAGCGTCTCTTAAAACACTGTGGTACCCTCATGGTGTTAGGTGTTAGCCATTCAGTCCAAGGTCAATGTACAGTTTCATGTATTTTCAGAGTGGCCTAATATTTCATAATACAAATCTGTATAGAAATAAATTGAATATCCACCTCATTTTCCTAATGGAACAAGGATGTAATGGATCAAAAAGGGAAGGGTGAAAAGCCATAAACATAATGTGAGTGAATAATGCCTTAGAAAAACACTTTTTCTCATGATCAGTACCTTCCCTACTGTACTTTTTGGTATTTTTTTTATGATTTCAAGGTCATTCTGTTTTTGACAGTATCACTATTGAGATAACTTCAATGCCTGAGGAAAAATAACTCCAAGACCTATCCTTTACAGCACATATGCTTCATGTAATTAGTATTCCATGAAGATGAGAGAGGCTCAAGATTCACAGGCAAAAAAATAGATCGTCTACTCTGTATAAAGAGTGGGGGACTTGAAATGTTCACTACAGAAGTACTCATTATGGAACAAAAAGAAAATTCAACCTGGGTGAAAGGATAATTGGGTTGTATCTGAAAGATTTTTTTTATTTGGTCTTTTTTCTTAGGAAAAAACATTTTTCTCAATGACAAAGGCAAAACGGGTAAAAAAAAATCACATTCCAAGATATTGCGATATTGAAAAAACATTTATTCTTGTAATAGTTGTCTGTTTATGGACTATACGAGGAAAGATAACTATGCAGAAGGACTAGAAAGGTATTTTAGGTCAGAACTCTGAAGGTGGTTGTGGTGTATCTTCATCATACAAAATGTTCAGAACACGGGTACAAAGAATGAAAGTACAAAAGAAAATATGACCCATTGAGTTTTGGTTCAAATTGGGTCTCATGCAATATCTACCAATTGATGCCTACAATTCTAGGGAGGTCATCTCAAAACAAAAAGGAAACAGGAATATCATCACACAGGGAAAATTATACTTTTGCCTTTATTTGATCAAAGACAGAGCAGTAATTTCATTTTCTACATTTTCTTGAAGAATGCTTGTGCAATTTTCCCTTATGTTTGTACAGCAGTGATTAAAAAAATAATACATATGCTGTAATATTGTATTATTGATTTCAATGACTTCTACTACACACAACACAGATATGTTAAATTGTACATAACAATATAACATACATATACAAATAAGCACTAATAGACTTGGTGCTTTCGTTTTAAGTGAGCCATTCAGCTAAACATAAAAGAACACTAGAAGAGAAAAGAACTCAACTCAAGAGTATCTTTCTTCCATAATATGACATGCCAAATGTTTTATTAACTTCTACAATTTACTTCTAAAGGACAAACAAAACTTCATCTTACAAGATTTTGTTTCATTCCACAATGCAACAGAGGCATGGAAAAAGACCAAACACAAACCAACAAAACACAACAAGGAACAAAAAAGTGTAATTTACAGAAAAAGTTACAAAAGAAGATTATTGCTCAGATGTTTCTTCCTTTTTGCGCACAGCTACAACAAAGCTTAGAATAAGTGCGTTGTAATGTGATTATTGGTTTACTGCGAGCTCTCTTCTGCTTCTTGAAGCTGCATCGAGGGCAAACTTCAGTAAAAGCTTGTCAGCAAATCATCAGCATTAATGAGCAAAATTCACAAAATTTTCATTATGTTATATGTGTTCGCCAGCTAACATTATGATAAGGATTTTTATATTGATCATGAATATTATATCTACTTCTGTCTCGAACTAGAGAGTAAGATGAGTAATTAGAATAAGATGAGTATGAGCTCAATGGCCTGGGTGGAGGCAATGCCGTGAGAGTGTTACTGTAGTGCGCTAAGCAGGCCACCTTACTAGGCATTGTTTTGCTCCTACTGAGAACATTAAATTTAGCAAGCTGCTGTTTGCGCAGAATGTTACCAGCATCAGACCTGGGTGCTTGGGCGTATCCATCGTGGGGCGGCTTCTCGATGTCGAAATCCTTGGGGAAGTAAGGAGAAGTTTCCGGCCGGAAGTCAATGCCAGGCGCCAGGTAAGGGAAGAACTTCGGGGGTTCCGGTTCAAGGCGCTCTCTGAGAAAAATAAGAGACTCCTCCGTTACTCAGCACTTTTATTTACAAAGTATGATACAGGGTCACAACACATTCACAAAAGCAACAACAACAAGAAATGTCCAATTCCTTCTTTATCACTATACTTGTAACAATGAAAGATTATTTTTGGTTGTGGGCCCTTGTTAGCAGAGATGGATTAAGATGTAAAAGTTGTTATTAGCTACTTTTCAGAGCACTAACAATAATAAAGTGATAACATTGAATTCAAATTGTGAAAATTCACAGTGGAAGTTTGACAGAAAATGTATCCTAACAGCAAGAGGCCGATTTCTTTCATTTATTCTTGTATAGTTTAATAGGTGTACTTGATCCCTCTGGACATATAATGCTTGCCTATGGAATATATATTAAAATATTCCTCAGACAATCAAACATAGGTTGGTAGGACACTATCACAAAAGACAATACACCACATATTGAGTATTGCAATAGCAATACCCTTCACCACACACACATTTCTATACTAATACTCTTTAAGACAAGAAAACTTATAAATGAGATATTAGGCAAAATTATTTAATCTGGATCTAGAACTATTATAATATTAGAAGCATTGAACTACAAGCAACTAAAAATAATTGGATTTGAATGAGCAAACACTTCTACAGACATAAACAAGCACAGATTGTTCATTGAACATAACTCTTATTTTGAATGCCAAAATGATTTCTAATCTCACAGCACAGGAAGTTCAGAATTAATATAGTATTGCAAATAGCAAAGTAAATTGAAGTACACTAGTTAAGGAATGAGAATGAAATATTATTTCTCCTATTTTTGAGAAATATATTTCAATGGAATTTTATAGTAAATTTTTATGCTTGTTAAAATTACATCATAACAGATTGAAGGATGCTTATTTACTAGAATTAAAAGTTACAAGTTTTGTAAGAACTCTAAATAAACAACTTTTTAAAATTTTAATAGAAATAATTGCAACTTTTTTAAAATACAAATTAAATGCAAACTCATAGGTAATTAAAAGTACAGAAAAAATTAAATTCATATGGCAAAGAATTTGTACTCTAATAAATACATCTGTTACTCCTTTTCAGAGAGTAATTTTATATGTTGATGGAGCAAGACAGTTATTTATTTTGAATAACTGACACACAAAGTCTTAACTAATGTAAAAGCATTGAACAAAGCAATTTGAAGGATGCTTTTAATATAAAATCTTCAGAAGCTCTTTGCAAATAAATATTTAGAAGCAATAGCTCTTGAAAATTTGGAAGAAGAATTGTAAGCAGCTGACAGCTAAACATGGATTAGTGGCAAAATAACAGAGACAGAGAAACAGAGACCCATCAGAGTAACTACAACATTTAAACACATTTTACTACAACTAAGCTCACAACAGTGTAATTACATACTACAGCATGCACCTTCAACAAGCAATACATTACAGTAAAGTACGTAATTGTTAAGGTTAATTGTTAAAAATTGTTATTTTCTTCTAAGTAGAGACTTATGAGAATCAAAACATTTTTGTCCTGAAGTAAAGATTTGTGAAAATTTTATTTCTATGTTCAAATTTTATATTTTCTGAATAAAAAAATATTTTTCAATATTACATCTTTTCAGTTGTTAAACTTTAATAAATATATAGAACATTCCATCACAGAGTGACCAAAATTAGATCTAATTTGAAACACAATTTTAAAAACTCCACAACTTTTGTATTGTAGTTATCTTGAAATTTATTTTAAAATGTAGTTTAGAATGGAGAAGTAAGCATGTCAATTTAAGATTTTGAAGATTTCTTAATTTTTCAAAAAACTAAGTCCTCTTGTTTACTCAAAGCACAAATAATCAATCAATATCTGGAATCTGTTTGTTTTACAAGTTCTCTGATGTTAAAAATATAATAGTATATTATTCAATATTAAGTTAATTATATATTTTAATATAGTATTAAATTTACAATGTTATTACTGCAAGTGATTTTATTCAGTTTATTGTTGTATGCAAATGTTTTCAACTCTCATTATTGTACATATTTTACAGATACCCCTGTATGTGTCCATCTATTCATTACTCATGGTTAGACCATTGATAGTTTACTTTGTATTCTGTGATTAGATCTTTTCCAGTCTATCATTCAAGGCCATTGAGGAGTCACTCAAAGTGTCTTCTCATGGCAAACAAATCATATTTTTGTGTTTTTTTCATAACATTATAAGAGAATTGAAAAAAAATCATGTGTTTGAAATTTTTAAGCAGTTAAAATGGTTTTGGATGTTTTAAGAACACAAAAGAGGTGATCTATAGTTTTGGAGGTTATCAAGCCATCTTCAGTGTGAAAATGTTGTGAATTACTATACTAGCTTTCTGGTATAACATGAATCATTATGACTTGATTCACCAGATGGATGATCATTAAACCTAATATTGTAAAGGAATTTTTTATTGACTTTTTTTCCATATAACTATTGTGATGTTTAGAATTTATTCTTGCACATCACAAATACAATTTTTTAAAATAAAAATGTCTTGAAACATTGCACTAAGTAAGCATGAGAGTTATTCAGGAAGCAAGTTCCTCTTTGCTTTGCAAAATGTATAAACAAATTTTTATTGCATTATAAAGAACAAACATTCAAATAGTTTTCTATTTTATTTCCATAGATGCTCAAGCACTTGTCACAGAGTTTTCTGCATGACCCTGCAAATATTTTCCACCTGTAATAACTGCCTTTTTTGGGGGATATTATTCCTTGTTGTCATTCTTGAACAGATTAATACCACTTAGTGCTAGGTCTGGACTGTAAGAAACTGAAACTGAACCCACATCATCTTTATCTGGGTGCAGTTCCACCAACCCCTTTACAGCCAGAGTCTAGCATTGATGTGGTATCTTTACCTTCAATCATTACTTTCTGATCAGCAATTGAGCAACAAAGTTGAAGTGAATAACACTGTTTCTTTGTGGTTTGCATCATTAGTGGAAACCTTCTATGACCCCATTTTGATAAATTATTCAATGGTAGAAATTGCTTGGAAAAGTATTTCAATATTTCTACTTTAAAATTGTTTATAAACATTTTGTTTATAAACATATTATCAACACTTTGTTTTTGATAGCCAAATGGAGTGTATTATTCATACCGATTCCTCACTCTCTGATAATTATCTGATAACTGATAATTTAATTTGACCTGATATATGATCACTGACAATATAATTTGAATTATCATAATGTAACAATATTAGTAGAATAGTCATCTCATTTTTGTAAATATCTGGAGCATGTGTTTAATTTTAATATGAATGATAGATATGTTAACATTGAAATTTCTATTGCTGTCAAGAAAACTGCAAGAGGCCAATTTCTTCAGTGACTTTCAACCTAAATGGCTTGGCAAAAGTATAGATTTGATGGTTTGAGCCTCATTATTTAAACTTAAAAAGCCTTAGGTATGTTCTTTGCATTTCACTTCAGTTGCTACGTGCTTAGATAAATTAAACATGAACAAATATGACAATTTTCAAATGAAATGTGTCTCATACCTATTCCTATATCCATTGTTCTTAAATTTTAAAATGAAAATAATGTTAAATATACGCAAATATAGCAAGGACTATGCATCCCATATTTCAGTTTCTTATGAGTCCTGTTTTGGCATCTTGATGCTTCAAGAACCTCTCAGCTATTGCTTTTTCTATGTTTTGAATGCAAAATGTCTGTGTTCTTTCCCTCTTTCATTGCCTATCTGGTTGATGTAGAAACATAATTGCTTCTGTCTGGAGTGTTCTTTCTCTTAATATATAAATTCAAAATCAAAATTAGAATTTATATTTTTAGACATCAATAAGGAGGAAAATGAAGCATTATAAAATCAGCAGGGTAAAACAAAATTTACACTCAACATTAGTGGAGACAAACACATGTCGAAAAATATTACTATATTCTAAAATCCAAAATTTAAGAGTAATGATTACAAAACACTGAGTTCTTAGTCAATTTTTAATTTGAGAGTAAGTTTTCAAAAGCGTTTGTAATTCATATTTTTATTTGGTTAACAAAATAGGGAGCTGACAGCTTGAAATTGGTAAGGACTAGAAGCTCATTAGGTAGTGTAATTGTAATTAGCATAAAAAATTATATTTAAATTGTTGGGTTGCAGCAATATAGCAAATTATGATAGTAAACTGAACTCATTTATATAAGGTATTTTAATGTAAACATCTGAAATTTCAAACATGCTTTTAAAAATGTAAGATCTAAAGCAATCCAATTACAATAAGCAAAATCAGGAAAGTAATTTTTTCAGATAGAATTTAATTACGAGAATATTTTTAATTGTTTGACCAAACTTTCATGGTTTAGGCACACTTCAGGACTATTTCAACCACAAGATTAAATTTGGTCTCTCTTATGCATGAATTAAATACAAGCAATCAAAGTTAATGTCAACAATCCTCAATCAACTACAGCTGTTGTGAGCTTAGGAGCAAAGATTGTGTGCTCACCTGTAAGTCTGCACATAGGGAGATGGGTCACTGATGCCATATCTGTTTTCTACTCGAATACGGAATTTGTAATCAAAGAAAGGCTTCAAGTTGTGGATTTCACAAGCACAGCTGCGAACACCTGGAAGGGAAGAAACCAACATTGTTACAAAGAAGGTGCTAACACATACAAAACAGGAAAGGTGGACCTTCAAGACAAGAAAAATAACAAAAAAAAAAACAAACAAAAACTTACTGAATATTTGTTTATTCAGTCATCTGCAAAAGCACCTCACAGATTAAGGTTTATTCATTCAGAAAGTTTTTTCTTGTCTGAACACAATTTTAACAGTGTAGAAGAATTTCTAGTTTAAGATTATTACTCACTTGTAATATTATGTAAATGCATTATATATGATTGTATGTATCAGTTGTTTTTCACATTTGTATTGTAAACAAATCTACTTGTGCATGTGTGAATTTTCTCTTCAATTGTAATTGTAATGTTTACAAAATTGTTGAAAAGGTTTGCATGCTTGTTAAGCAACCTTTCCATACCTCATGGTTTGATCAGTTGAATAATAACTAATCAGAACAACTTCTGGGAGCATTTAGATTAGGTTCTTTAAATGCGTATTCTGGGGTGGGAAGTCAAGTCAAAAGAACATCCCACAAGAAGAGTGGTGAAAACACATATTTTTGTATGTTTTAAAATTTAGTTTTAATTCTTAATACATTATTTTTTAGTATTACACACGTGGATGAAAGAACCAGACAAGCATGATTAAGATTGTTTTTTTAATAAAATTTGCTTGTTTAAAATTTTCAACATATGAAAATATTTTAAACATATGAAAATATTTTAAACTTAGTTTGCAATGTTGGCAATGCTAGTTTCAGTTAATATAAAGGTAATGTAATAATTCAAGATTTTCAGGTAATGCTATCCCTTACTCTTTATTTGAAAAGACCATTGCTTTCGCATTAATGGATGACAAAACCAATGTTTTGTTTGAACATTGATGTTTGTATATGACAAATTTTCTAAATTAGTGTCAGTAAATTTAAACAATAAAATATAAATGACAAGAAAGATATAACTTTGATTTTTACATCACATTGTATTATTTCTTATCTGAATGCTTTTATGCAAGGAAACTTTCTTTGGGGTTCTTATCTTCCTACCTAGTCAGTTGTATTTGTAATAAATATACAATCTCTCCCAACGTTTGAAAATAACTACTTTCAATAACAAAAACATTAACTTATTTATAAAACTCCAACCAAATAGGATTAAAGTTTATTGGTAGTAGAAAATTTGCTTACCAGTTCTCATAGTGAACCACTCGCCATCAGGCATTTCGCTCATCTCCACACGATATGTGACTGGTGGTTGGGGCCCAATAGGGATGTATGGCTTCCAGGAAAGTGTCAACTGCCTGTCACTCATTCGGCTAATGATAGGGCGATCAGCCAAGGGAAGCGGTGCACCGGAGCTGCGATACTTGTCGAAGTCTGTGTATTGATAGCCTAGAGACTTCTTTGGGCGGTCATCCAGAGCTGTAAGAAGACAAAAACCAATGAGAGTTTCAGAAGATTTGGAAAAGAAGTTATTGACATTACTATGTTGAAATTACATATTGAGTGCAGTAATATAACTTGAAATCTTGTAGGTTAACACTTGAAAATAGGCTGTTAACTATGAAATATCAACTATAAATTCTTCCAACCAAACATTCAATCAGTGATGTTACTGATTTGGCTTTTTGACATGATGGATCATGCATCTATTTGGCATCACAAACTGGCTTTATTTTGCAATTACACAGCAAATAATATTTTGATTTTACTTCTGAAATTCTCTTTGCAGTTTTCTGACCATAACATTTCTTTTAAGCATTATCTATAAAATTCTCTGCAATGTATGAAAATTCATTCAAGTTGGAAGTTTGATTTTTCTCTATTAAGTAGCTTAATAAACCACCTACAAAAATGTCACAGATTCTTTGTTTTCTTTAATCTCACCATACAATTATGTTTTTGACCACTTAGCATAAATTATTTTTATTTATTTGTATCCAAACTTAGATGTTTGCTCTAAAGACAATTTTCTAAATCTACTCACAAGCAGAATAACACTCTCAGTATTTATTTGTGAATTATTATGAACAGATTTTACAGATTCATACCTTATGATTAGATTTCTGTGTTGAATACTATATTAAACAACTCTATTTAATAACAAGCATCTCATTCAACTTACAATCATAGTTCAGATCTGCTTCACAGCTAGCTTCTCCATGCGGATTGAAGATGCGTAACTTGTATCGCCCAATGTCAGCTGGATTCACATTTGCGATAGTGAGACGCAGCAGTCCAGAACCCTCTCGTTCCATGCGCACACGGTCGCTGGGGAAAAGCTTCTCATCATTACGGAACCACTCAAACTCAGGTTCTGGGATGCCTGAGGCACAGGCTGTGAATTTGCCTGTCATGCCCTTGTACACCTCACAGTCTCCGATACTCTTCAGGAATGAAGGAGGCTCCACTCTCTGAGATCGACCACTAATAACAGAAATAGAGTACAAATTTAAGTACATCAGAGTCATTATTAGCTAAGATGGCTCTAGCAGAGTAGAAATGTAAAGTCCATCAGCTTAGGTATCAAAAAAGTTAAGCAAAATGGATGTTGTAGAACTCAGAAATAAGTGAAAAAATGAAAGTTAGAATATGAAAAACATTATTGAAAGTATTATAACATATGCAGGTGAAGAGTGGGAAGTAGCGAAGCATTTGAAAAGGTTTTGTCAAAAGAGAAGCTATCTGGGAATAATATTTCATGATTGACCAAGTGCAAATTAGAAAAATGCCAGAAGGCTGTTCAATGACTCTCAATAAGTGATTTTAAGAAATCAAAATATTCAAAATGGTTTGCACACATTACGTTCTAAGAATAAAGATAGAAGATTTACAGAGAAAAAAACGAGGATGCCTTACAGGAAGTTACAGTGAGGTCATCAGATAAAATAGTAGAATGGACAAGTAAATCTCAGAATAGTTTATTATATTATATTCATAATGCTTGTATTTTGGGGGAAACCAGAACAAAATTTAAAAATCAGTAAACTTAGTTTTCCTTTTGAGTTTCTTTAGTGTGCTACAAATCTGAGTTATGAGACAAGTAGCTTTACTTTACTTTCAATGGATAGTGGATGAAAGATTTTTCCCTTTTTTTAATGGTGAATGAAGGATTTTTTTCATTTAGAAGAAATTTCTCAAAATCTACTCAAAAATTTATTAGGAAGTTTTAAAAATCATTGACTTTCTTGTGTTTGCATACAAGATATATTGAGCACAAATGAAGAATACTTACATTGTATCAACTACCTCCAGACTGGCTTCACAAGAATCTTCTCCATCCTGGTTGCTTGCTTTACATTTGTACCTTCCAGCATCAGAGGGCTGGCAGTCTTTGACGTACAAACAAACAGCATCCCCATCAGTGCGAATGTGATATTTCTCCGAATCCTTGATGGGGGTATCGTTGAAATACCAAGTAACGTTTGGTCCAGGGATGCCTTACACTCTGTGCAGAAATTTAGCATCAAAGGTTGGTTTCTGAAAAACAACATCAATGATCGAAAGATTGAAGTCATAGGCTTCCACATGCTGCATATTAGGGCAAATGATCTTGGCTGTTTTCAAGTGAGCCATGTTGAAGTTTGTGGTGCCGTTTTGAAACATTTCGTGATCGTCTTAGGCAGACCAGCCCTCTGAGGAAGACCATGACAAGATGGTCAAATCGTCGGCCCACCAAGCCTCTTTCAAGTTGGCATCATCTGAACACCAGATCATTTGTAACATCATGATTACTAAAACAAAGATTTTAGGGAAGGAAAATTTAGAAAAAAAAACAACAAACTAAAAT